TGGTCTGGGTGCTGCCCATCCCATGCATGGTCCCGGCAGGGCGCACAGGCAAGTCCGGCCCTGGGGACTCCATCCTGCCCCAGCCCTGCCCCCACCCTCTTCCTCTCTACTGCGTAGTTGCGTATTGCCTGGCTGGTAGACACCTACGTACTGATACTGATGATAATAATAAAACGTACTTAATTAGAAAATACTGGACATTTATATTTATATTTTCTCATTTGTTTCCCGGACAGAAAGCTCAAATACCGGAGTGTCTGGTTCAAAACCAGACACCTGGCAACCCTAGGGGGGAGGGGGCAGCGATCTCAGCTCAGGACCTCCGCTGGGGGAGACCAACGGAGCTGGCTCCGCAGGATCACGCAGTGAAAAGCCCCAGGGTGCAGGAAGGTGAGCGGCAGTGGTCGTGTCTGCACTCCAGGAGGCACCCCCAAGGGGTCTTCTGTGACCTCACCCCATCGCAGGGATGCAGGGTCGGGGGGGAGGGGAGTTGTGACCTGAGGGAAGAGGGTGCAGAGGGTTTGGGTGCTAACCTAGGGCAGGAGATCGGGGTGCAGGAGAGGATTCTGGCCTGGGGAAAGATGTAGGAGGGGGTGCAGGAGGTAGTTGAGAGGGGGAATGGGGTGCCAAATACAGACTCTGGCTGGGAGGCACTTCCCTAAGCATTTCCAGACCAGCAGCGCTCTCAGAAAGGCTCCCCCCGTCCCCCCAGCAGCCCCAGAGCTGGCTGGCTGGCTGTGCCTGTGACTCTCTGTGCTGTGGGGAGGAGTAGGGAGAAACTTTCCATGCTCCCCCTGCTCCCAGCAAAATCTCTCAGCTTCCATTGGCCGGTTTCTGGCCAACGGGAGTTGAGAGATTATGCTGGGGGGCAGGAGGAGCCCCGTGAAACCTTTTCCTCCCTCCCTGTACCAGTGCCAGTGGCACTGCTTCCTGGCCAAATCAAAAGGCTTGGCAGGCCAGATTCAGCCCATGGACCTGATCTTGCCTGCCCCTGAGTTAGCCTCTCCCAGGCAGCCCTCAGTGTTACCAGGAGCGGGCCATACTGTGCTCCCATAGTGATTTAAAAGGCCCAGGCCTCCGGCTACTGCTGCAGGAGAGCTGGGCCCTTTTGTACTGCAAAATCTGACAGAAACCTCCCAAGGCCTCCACCCCAGACAATTGACTGAGTCCTGATAGGCCATAAAGAGTTACAAATGGGTCCTGAACTCGAAAACATTGAAAACCACGGCTCTGGATGGGAAAGATCCTAATCCCTGCCTCAGCCTCGTCGCCACATGATGGCTCCCCTAGGAAAGAAAATGTCACTCGCCAGCACCCGAAATCTGACAGAAACCTCCCAAGGCCTCCACCCCAGACAATTGACTGAGTCCTGATAGGCCATAAAGAGTTACAAATGGGTCCTGAACTCGAAAACATTGAAAACCACGGCTCTGGATGGGAAAGATCCTAATCCCTGCCTCAGCCTCGTCGCCACATGATGGCTCCCCTAGGAAAGAAAATGTCACTCGCCAGCACCCGAGAGAGCCAGGCCCCCCCAGGCGCAGCACGGGGGGCTGTGGGGTGGCACCTCTTTGCGTGGCCCGGTGAGGATGGCTTTGAAGTCTGGCCATGAATCCACCAGCACCTCTTGTGCGACCGGGTTCCCGCGATTTATGGTCCTGACAGCACCGTAGACCTGCCAGAGACAAGAAGGAGTTGGGTGGGTCAGAGGCAGGGGTGCAGCAGCAATTCCAGCTCTCACCCCTATCAGGAGCCTGCGGATCAGTGCTAGATTTATGCACAAGATAAGTAAACTACAGGTTAGGGCCTTAGATTATGAGGGGCCTCTAAATTAAAAAACAAAACTAAACTAAATTTCATTTTTTGGTAATGCTATGGGGCCTCTTAAACTTGCCATAGTTTATGGCCTCAGCATGTCTTAATCTAGCCCTACTCCCGATATTTATGGGGGGGGGCCTTTATTATGATCTTCTGCTCATTGGAAGAGTTTTCTGCCACCTTCAAAACGGCCACCTTCTCATGTCAGCCCCTTTAGCAGCTTCTCCCGGTCTCCCTGGTCTGCTGGGGGGGTCCAGCAAAGCCGGGAGCAAAGCCGCCCAGGCGGCGGGACCCCTGCCACCTGGGAGGCTTTGCTCCTGTCCCCCTCCTCATTAGGATCCTGTCCCTCTCCTGCAGGGAGACGGGGAGCAAAACCTTGGAGCACGCCCGCAGCGGGACAGCCCAGGCACGCCTGGACTGTCCCGCTGCTCGCGTGCTCCACGGCTTTGCTCCCCGTCTCCCAGGTCAGCAGACCAGGGGGAGGGAGCAAAGCCGTGGAGGACTTCGGCGGTCCTGCCACCCCCATCTCCCTGGTCTGCTGGGGTGGGGGAGTGCAGCTAGTGCCCCCCCCCCCCCACAAGCCCAGCCTTTTTTTGCCTACCCCGGGGGAG